TTAGATTAGAAAGTATAGTTTATTTAGAAAGTAACATAGAAAGAAAGAGAGAGGAGATTCACCTCTCCAAGGTGGGAGAAGGACAAAGCTTAGGAAACATGGCGGTGGCCATAGCTCAAAGAGCACATGACCGCATCAGAGTTTAGTAAAGCAATGGCCTGAACTGAATTTCTGATAGGTCCACTGACTTATTTCATTAAACCTGGTCCAAATTTTCAGGTCATTCCTTCCTATTGGTCTCATAAAATTAGCATGGTTAGATCACATTACCAGCCTTCAGTAATTCTCAGATTATCTTGATGATTGTTGTCATATCATCTTCCTTTAGTACTATTTATTAGTTACTTAATATTATACATTAAAATGAGTTTAAATTGACACTAATTTTTTTCTGGGGGGCAAAGGAGATATGTTTGTCAAAAGGTACAAAGTTTCAGTTAGACAGGATGAGTAAGTTCTGGTGATGTATTGTACAGCATGGTGATTATAATTAATAACCATGTACTGTATACAGTTTGCCCTTGAACAATGCCGGTTTGAACTATAAGGGTCTACATATATGCAATTTTTTTCAATCAAGTGTGGATCGAAAACTCAGTTTTCCGGGGATGCAAAACTCATGTATGGATAGGCAGGATCGATTTTTCCTATCCATAGGTTCAGCGGAGTCAACTGTGAGACTTGATTATAAGCAGATTTGGATACATGTGGAAAGTTCTGGAATCAATGCTCCACATATACCAAGGCACAACTGTATTTGGAAATTACAAAGAGTAGACCATATGAGGTGGCTCATGCCTGCAATCCCAACTTCTTGGGAGACTGAGGTGGGAGAATCTCTTGAGACCAGGAGTTCAAGAACAGCCTAGGCAACATAGCGAGATCTTGTCTCTAAAAAAGAAAAAGCCAAGCCTGCGTCGTGACGCATGCCTGTAGTCCCAACTACTCAGGAGGCTGAGGTGGAAGGATCACCTGAGCCCAGGAGATGGAGGCTGCAGTGAGCCATTATCATGCCACTGCACTCCAGGCTGAGTTACAGAGTGAGACATTGACTCTAAAAACAAACAAACAAAAAAAAAGAAAGAAAGAAAGAAAAGAAAAGAAAAGAAAAAGAAAAAAGAAGGTGTTCTCACACTCTCCCCCACAAAAAAATGTTGTATGTGAAGTAATGGATATGTTAATTAGCTTAATTTAATAATTTCACAGTATATACATATGTCAAAACATCACATTTGTACATGGTTAATATATACAATTTTTATTTGTCAGATATACCCTTATAAAGATAGGGAAAACATAAAATGCTTGACTTCAAACTTTTTTTTGAAAAAAACAAAGAATTGCTAAGCCTCAAATATCCAAATTAAGCAACTTCTTTCATATTTTATTCATTTGTACAAACTCTGAATAAAAGCAATTAAAACATAAAAAAACTTTTAAAGTACCTATCAACTTGGAATCATGCTTGATGTGCTATTTGTATACATTTTTAAAATATGCATTTTTTTTTTTTACAGGAGAAAGCATGAACACAGTCCCCCACTACCACAAATTATGCAATTTTCCACATTTGCGGAAAGTTGCAGGGGTCAGCACATTCAGAGTGCAGTGGATAAACCTTGCCCTGAGTAAAACACCCTCTTGATCATGTTGATCATGGTTTCTCCCTTGCCAGGTAAAAATATACACTCTAATAAATACTCACTTGATAACATAAACCAAAATATTCATATTTGTGCTTCCTAAAATCATCTTGGGAAACTTTATGGTTCTAGATAGCACACTGCTAAATCCTGTATTTGACAGAACCTGCAGTAGAATCTGAAATAGAACCACCCTTCCTCAAAATCATTTCCCTTTCCATGAGACCATAATGATGAATTTCAAAAATATAGCTTCTTTGTGCTAAATATGGATATAATATTTGATGCAAAAATGATTCCTAAGGGCTCGTTGTGTTAAGATTGCGATTATAAGGGAGGAGTCATTAATTAAAAGATTTCCCAATACTGTCATATTTGCTGCTGTTTTCAGCCTTTTTTCTACATATTTTATTTTATTTTCAAATGTATTTTGAGTCGGAGTCTCATTTTGTTGTTCAGGCTGGAGTGCAGTGGCACACTCAGGGCTAACACAGTCTCCCAAAGTGCTCGGATTACAGGGATGAACCACTGTACCTTTCTACTTTTTAAAAAAGGTTTGCAGCACCTTTTGGATTGAAAGTAAAAGCAATTGTTTAATCATTTCAACTTTTTTCTGGTCCTTTCCTCACATATTTATTTTTGTGAACTCTGGAGGAGAAGGCAGCCTTCTAGCTGGGAAGTTCTGGAGCCACTGGTGGGAGCCCCTTGAAAGACACACAAGGGACAGACTGTGTCTGTACTTCTGCTCCTGTTCCCCCCAAATTTGTTTGCTAATGAGTAAAGTAGACAGAATAATAGTTCCCCAAAGACACCCATGTCCTAATCCCTGGAATGTGGTAATGTATTGTAATACATGGCAAAGAGGGGTAGGGCTGCAGGTGGATACATTTGCTCATCAACTAACCTTATAACAGAGGGATTATCCTGGATTATCTGGGTGGGCCCAATATAATCACAAAGATCCTTAGAAATGGAAGAAGGGTCAGAAGGGAAGGTGATGGCTGGGTCCAGTGGCTCACACCTGTAATCCTAGCACTTTGGGAGGTTGAGGTGGGAGGATCGCTTGAATCCATGAGATCAGCAGCAGCCTGGGCAACAGAGTGAGACTCGGCCTCTATGAAATGTCAAAACATCAGCTGGGTGTGGTGGGCGTGACAGTAGTCCCAGCAACTGGGGAGGCTGAGGCAGAAGGATCACCTGAGCCTGGGGTGTTGAGGTTGCAGTGAGGAGTGAGTGTGCTACTGAACTCCAGCCTGGAAAACAGTGAGACCCTGACTCAAAAAAAAAGGAAAAACGAAGGTGAGAGTGGTTTGGAGTGAGAAGGACCAATTCCCCATGACTGTCTTTGATGATGAAGGGACTGTGAGCCAAGGAATGCAGACAGCCTCTAGATGTTGGAAGGCAAGGAAACAGTCTCCCCTAAAGCCTTCAAAACAAAATGCAACACTGTCAACACCTTGATTTTAGCCCAGTGAAAGCCATTTTGGTCTTTTGATCTCCATTTCTAATGTAAATTCATTTTATTTTAAGCCACTACATTTGTGTTAATTTGTCACAGCAGCAATAGAAGACTAAGTGAGCTTTAAAATTGATCTATCTTCTTATCTCATGGCTACAGGTTTGGCATAATCATTTTTTAACAAAGGCACCTAAACTAATTAAAGCAAATGTGAAATCCTACTCTCCTACTAAGGATAACTAATTCCAACCTAGTGCAGTGCCTCATGCCTGTAATCCCAGTACTTTGGGAGGCCAAGGCAGGAGGATTGCTTGAACCCAGGTATTCAAGACCTCGTCTCTCCAAAAAAATATAAAAATTATCCAGGCATGATGATGCACGCCTACTACTTGGGAGGCTGAGATGAGAGGATTGCCTGAACCCAAGAGGTCGAAGCTGCAGTGAGCTATGATTATACCACTGAACTCCAGCCTGGGCAGCAGAGCAAGATTTCATCACCTAAAAATTAATAATAACAACTAATTCTTAAATTTAAACATTATTATTTCTCCCTAAGATTACTGATGTTATTTATCCTGTTCACATTTTCTTTTTAAAAAATTAATAAAATGCATCTTAACACTCTCCCGTTATAGAAACAAATACAGAAGCATTTTGGAGAATCAATAACCTAATTTTCTTTAAGGCCTAGATTGAGATCTCTGACGTTTACTAGCTGTGGTTGTTCAGCAGAAATTAACCTTTCTAACCCTGTGTTTCATCCTTTGTAAAATGGGAATAAAAATGAGAGGATCCGTACAATAGATTTGTGTAAAGAATTTAATGAGATCATCTCTGCGGAGTTCTTAGTATGACTCCTGGTACATTAAAAAACGCATTGCATAATGGTGTTGGCTATTACTGTTGTTGCATCATCTTTCTAATTTCAAAAACTTTCTAACCAAAAAGCACAGTTTTAAAACTCTTGCTGTGCTGGAGATCTGCACATTTAATCATCCATCGCTTCACTTTCCATTTCAACTTCAATTTCAAAAAGCCCTTCGGAATAAAGCATCTCCTTAGCAATACTTAACCTTAAGTCCACAGTTCTTTCATGATTAAAAATCCATTCCCAGTGTGGTGGCTCACGCCTATCACACCAGCACTTTAGGACGTTACATCGGGAGGATTGCTTGAGGCCAGGAGTTTGAAACCAGTCTCTGCAGAGTAGCAAGACCTCGTATCTGGGGGGGGGGGGGGGGGGGGGAATCAGGCATGGTGGCACGTTCTGTCGTCCCAGTTACTCAGGAGGCTGAGGTAGGAGGATCGCTAGAACCCGGAAGGTTGAGACTGCATTTGGCTATAATCACAGCACTGCACTCTAGCCTGAGACCCTGTCTCTAAAATGTTAGATAAATACACTTCATTACTAACGTAACTGCTAAAAAAAAAAAAAAAAATAGACTGGTAAGACAATGGACTAACAATCTCGATCGCAATTAAACTTTACGTCCCTAAGGCAGAGCGAGGTGAATTCCTTCCCGGGAGCCGAGCGCACTCCTCTCCGGCACCGACTCCGCGTACACAAGGGGGTTCCGGGACCCTCCAGCGCGCGAGGTGCTCGTTCTGTTCCCGGGCGGTGCCAGGTGAGCCCCGGCGGATCCTGGGGACCGAGTCGGGACTTGCCGCGGCGGCAGGTGGCTCGGCCTCGCCCTGGGCGCCCTCGCGCTTTCGCGACCCCCCGCGGGTGCGCGCCTGGGGCCTCCTCCGTCCTCCTCTGGTGGCCCTTGCCGCGCTCCGGCCGCGCGCCAGCCTCTCCCCGCGCGCCCCGGCCCGCATCTCGCCTGCCCCGGGCTCAGGAAGGGAAGGAGGCGTGTCCCGGGCAGGCGGGAGCCTATAAAAGCGCGGGCGGCGCGGCAGCCGGGGCTTCACTCGCCGCCTCGCGCTGGGACTGGGAGCGCCGCGGGGAGCTCGGCCGTGGAGAGGGCGCTGCGCTAGGGCTGCCCAATGCGTGGACAATCTGCCGCCGCGGCTCGTGCACTATGCTGGGGCTCCAGGCCAGCTGAACGCCGTCGCCACACCGCTGCTCGGGCTGGATCGCAGCGCTGCCTTTCCTTATGAAGAAGACACAAGTGAGTCGGGCGCTCCCGGAGCGCGCGGGCTCTCCAAGAAAAGCGCGCCCGGAGCCCCGGGGAGGCCGGCGCGCCCTGGGCCCCGCAGTCGGGCTGGGCCGGGCCGTGCCTGCCGGGATAGGGGGCGGGTGGGGAGGTGTGTGCGAGCCCCAGCCGTGCGGAGCCGGTGTCAAGTTTGGAGCCGCGGCGGCCGAGTTGGGAAGTGTCAGTCAGGAACCGCCATCCCCGTCTGCTGGGAGGCTACGGGAGTAGGGGTGATCGCGGGGAGGCATGCGTTTGCTCGGGAAGCAGTTTCCCGGGGAGTCCCGGAGATTATGAAACGGCTCCCCACGCGCCACCCTCGCTCTCGGATTCGTTGATGCGGCCCCGAGGGGTGCGCGGCAGCGGCGGGAGCGAAGCCCACCCGGAGCTCCCGGGCTGCTGCGCTCGGCAGAGCGGGGAACCTGCCCGGCGGTCTGAGAAACTTGGCTCTCTGCGGGATCTGACGAGTTTGCGGCTCTGGACGAGCTCTAGAGAGCTCTGGATACCTCCGCAGGGCACGCACCATGCATACCCCTTTTCCATTACAAAAGAGAAAAATGGGCACCTCTCATGATAGTTCCTGAGATAATTCCCAGTGCTGCTAAACTGTGCATGATACAGAAAGCGCTGTGGGTAAAGCACCACCCCGGGATACAACTAGATTTTTTCCCCCCTCGAAACAAATATCTGATTATGTGTTTCGTGCTGTGTTGACTAGGCTGGTGTCGAACTCCTGGCCTCAAGAGATCCTCCCGCCTCGGCCTCCCAACTAGCTAGATCACAGGCGGGAGCCACCGAGCCCGGCCTGGTTCGTGGTTTAGAAAGGGGGCGCCACGGTGCCCCCATCTACAGCTCTTTTCACCCCTGGAGGGTCTTATTTCTCTCCCCTTAGGAACTGTTCTGTGTTATCTGCAGCAGGTTGGGCAAGGCTGCCCTTTCACCCCCCAGAGGTTCTAGCGGATATTGCAATACCTGAAATATGTCGTAGGGGTGAGGGGAAAGGAAAATTGGGGGCTTGTATGCATCGTCCGTTTAGGATGAAGGCGTCAATGTGCTGGAAATACTTTATTAAATGAGCCACTTATTTTCAGCAGAAATCTAGGCCTAGAAATGTACACATTAGGAAGAAACTGGCCTCTCGCACCAGTGTAGAAAAAAGCTGGGGGAAGGGACATCACCTGGCTAAAAGAAGGTTTGTAGTTTCCAGGGCACACTTTAGGAGAAAAGAAGCTGGGTGCCTGTCTCCTCTCTTGCAAGCAGGTTAGCTTTTAGGCAAAGCTCTGAACAGCGCACCTGGGTGCCGTTGAAATGCAAATGTTAAAGATTCTTGCAATAAAAGAAAAGTTTTATTGTAATCTCTTGATTTTGTATAAGCTTTCTGTGGAATAATAAAAGCAGGCGGGGAATTGATTTCTTTTCATAGTAGCATCTGCTTGTATGAATGGTAGTGGTGAGAAACGGGTGGAGGAAACCGTTACCTTCTAGTTCAGGAAAAGAGCCTCAACCTTCCTATTTAAACAAGAGCACAGGAGACAGATCAAGTTAATGTCCAACACTCCAAAGCCAGGCCATGTACTCTCAAGTCACTTTGAGAGGCCATAGGATGGATGATCCTTGCACCCTTGCTTTGCAAAACAAATGTGAGCTCTGTAATCGCCTTTTTCGCTATGATTAAACAGCTGTGTAAATCGGATTACATGGAATCATTCCATTGAAAAGTAGAAAGCGGTCCATCTAGCCTGAAATAGTGTGCCTGTGGCACTAGTGGCTCAGTGCTGCCGACCAGAGACATTTGAGATAGCTAAGTATTTTAGAAATGTGACCTGTTCGGACCAAGTTAAAGTGCAGGCCCTTTAGGGGAACTTGCTGGTGTTATAGGGCTTATAGGCGAAGGAGGACAGTGCCCCTGTTGAAAGAAGGCATTCATTGCCCAGGCTCGAATGACCTTCAGGGTTTCCTTTAAGGCTACTTCTGGCAATTCCACATTCCTGTCACTGAAAAGGGGGGCAAAGTCAATAAAATAATCCGTGGAGATGCAGGAGAGGAGTAGATCCTTTTTGTATTGCCCCATTTTCTAATCCAGAAGTTGCAAAGAGATTTTCTGGGCAACTCTGCATGGATGGAGAGTTACAAAAGGAAATTGGACACTTAGAAGTAGGATTCGTCTCTGTCGTGAATCTTATGTTATCCTATGTGATGAATCTTATGTGATATTTCAGGGAAGAATATCTATTAATATTCAGTAGTTTACATAGCCATTTATAAATACGGCATCAATGCCAGAGTTCTGATATAAGGTAACTGGTTCTGTACTCTTTCATTACTCAATATATAAAAAGCAAATTTAGTAAAACTATTTAAAAAAGACTTCCATTTGAATTGCACAACTCTCTAAGAATCATGGAGACACCAGGCATTCCAGCCTTTCAATCAAGCTAAGTAAGTGTGAAAATTCCATCACCAACCACTTGGGGTTTGATGAATGATTCTTTCTTTTATTTAGCACGTGTGATGGACTTGAATATTTGGAATATAATTACGCAGGCAATAGCCATGAGGGGCAATTGTGACAATACATTTAATCACAGGTTCACAGAAATGAATGTCTTTTGCTTTTTCAGATTTCTATTTGCTTGTATTTTATCCACATTGTGTGGTTTTATAGTTTCTAAAAGGAGTTGTGACTCTGGTTTGGAAAGCACATCTGTTTCATTGTATAACTATTTTAAAAATAATACTCTGATATACTGGTTTATTAAATAACTATGGGGGCGCCGTATTTTGCAACACCAACTGAGATTTGGTGAAAAGTTCCATCAGCTTAACATGTCCGGTGTTACATTTATCAATGCTGTGCTTACATTTCAGTTTTGGAAAGGTTTGTGAGAGTTCTCACGACTGCAGTCAGTTTCAGAAGTACTGACACAGGAAAGGTTCATCTTGCAAACAATGTAGAAAAGGCCATTTTAGGCATACTAGCTCTCAGAGAAGAAGCAAATAGAATGTTAGCAGTTTTGCTACTGCAAAGAAAAGATCCTTTTTTGACTGCATGGAGTTTGTCATGTGGGTGACTATGCAAGTTTACTTTACAGAAAAAAATTAACATATTTATGAAAAGAGCATTTTTTAATCTTGTCCTTAAGATCACTCAATTTGGAATGTATGCTTTGAGTAATTCTAATTTATGTAGCTTTTAATTGATACATTCTGCCAAGACTTTAAAAACCAAGTGCTAAGTCGATTACATTTAACATAAAACAAGGAAAATAACCATATGGAAATCTGAAAAGTCTGGGCCAAACCAATTAAAATTGCTAAATTTTATTTATATCTAACTGCTGATTTGAAGACAGCAAAGTGTGAGTCACATTTGTTCTTTAATAATAGGTGATTGAAATCTTTCCACAACTATAAAGCACATTAAAAAAAAAAAAAAGAAAGCACATGCTTGCCCAGATAGCATGTCTGAGTATTGGAGGTTTCTTGCATGAATTGGTGGGTCCTACTGCCTGTACCTTCCCCATTTGGGGAGCACTTCAGATGTAATTGGTAAAAGGATTTTAGACGCTGCCTTCTGAAGACATAGATTCCAATTCCTGTTTTACCACTTGCGAGACAGATGACCTTAGGCAAATGGTTAAACGTCTTGGGATTTCCGTTCTGTAATCTGTACAGTGATCATAAAATAGTTACACTGATTTTTCTCCCATAGTGTTTGAAGGACTACATGAAATTGTGTATATGTCTTTATACCAGCACGGTGACTTACTGTAGTTATAGTCTGAATTTACTGTTCCTGAGAAGAGAATGCCTGCTGGCTAGCTTTTATAAGCCAGCAGAAAATTGGCTGTTGCAGGTAAATGATGCTTAACAAGAAAAGCACAGACCAAGTTTCCCCAAATCTAGATCCGTTGATTCAGTGGCTCCTGTGATAGGCTATCTGTTTATAGACTGAAATTAACACATATCAGGAATGTGCAAAACAAAGGTGAGTTGCGGTCATAAGAGATGTTAAGTTATTTTAGGTTTTACTTTAAAAGTAAAAATGAGTGGGAGAATTAGCTCTGAAATAGAAATAGAAAATGGAAATATCACTGCCACTGATTCAGTTTCGTATTTCCATACTCTTGCTTTCTAAGTTCTCCTTGTCTGATTCTAAGGGTTTATTTTATTTGTTTGAGGCTCAAGGGTGTTGGTCAGCTTCCTGTGCTTGGTGTTCCCGCACTTACTCCCCCCAGCGAGGCCATGCATTCATTTCTGCAGGGTGTCTTTGTTGTCTGTACCAGGCAACGTGCAGTGACATTTTTTTTTTCTCATTATGCAAGTTTGGGACTTTTTTTTTTTTTCTTTTCTGGATTACCTTAATGCTCCCTTTTGTAAATTAGGGTAAGGCATCAGGATATAAATCTCTGAGGAGTGATCTTTTATCTTTCTTTTCTAGTATATTAATCATGAGCAGCTGTAGGAGACTCTGTTCTTGGTCTTAGTCACGTGTGTAGCCAGAACGATTTATAAAACAAATTGAGGGAACACTGAGGTACTTTTATAATATATGCTGCCTTCAGGGCTGTTTTGTATAGACTTTGTTTCATAGAAACCATTGACTGTAACCTTGCTGATTTATGGATGCAGCAAGATGTGTTTGCCTTTTCACTTAATTATGGGCATACTAAAAACTGTTTACAGGGGCTGGGAGCTAGAGAGAATTGTCATTATCCCATCTCTACTGATCTCTTTCTCTGCAGAAGAAAAGGAGGTGGGGAGTGATTTTTCTCCTAATTAGGGCTCATGAGTCTTTTTATAAAAAAAAAAAAAAAAATCACAATGTGTGTCATCTAAGGGAAGATTGTTCTTTATGTACCTCTCTTTGTCCTTCAGCTACACTTTACTATTTTTCTAGGCTGTCACATTGGCTTGGGTACTAGAAGATTGAGTCCTGTTATTAACCTGGATACTAAGTTGTATGACTTTGGGAAATT